TTTTTTTTTTGTATTGTTTTGTCATGAGATCAAAAAACACTGCTGGTCAACTGATTAACTGATTATCCAACAATATTTTTCTGGTTGCTTATTTGCTTTTGATAGCTTTTTGGGCTAGAATGATGTTGCTTTTGTCTTTGCAAGAAAGAATTATTGACGTTTCCAGCGGCCACTGTTAGTTTCTTTTTTTGTTGTTGTTGTTGTTTCGGCACTACTGCCGACAAGCTGACTGATTAACTGACTAACCTGACTAACTTTCTAACTAAATGGCTAGTTGACTTATCTTGCTGACTGACTGACAGACTAACTAACTAACTTACTTACTTGCTGAGTGACAGTTTAATTAACCTAAACGAAACTTACTGGACTAGTACTGCTGCAGTTGCTGCCTAGTGTAGCTGTTGTTAAAGTTCCAGCAACAACTACGCCAATAGTGGCAATTGCAGCAGTAACAACAACAGCAACAGCAACAATAGCGTTTAATCGCTTGAATGTCTTTTTTTTTTTTCTATTCCGCCAGCTTTGGACCACTGCCGAAGCTGTTGCCGACAAATCTCTACGTCAGAACTGATAGCAAAAAATGAAAATTTTTTTTCCTCATTTTGATGCCTCTTTTTTTTCGCCTTTGCTTCTGCTGCTATTTAATTCTTATCTGATGTTATTGTTGCTTTTATTCCTGATATTATTATTTTTATTATTATTGTTGTTGTTGTGCCGTCGTTGTTATCCTGTGCTTCTTTCATCTTAATTTTGGAACAATAAGACTGGCCGCTATTTTTTATTCATGTTAACAGTCTATTTGAATAATTATTTTTTTGCTTCATCCCTTTTCCCCACTTATATTGCAAATACAAATTGAAACTTTAGGGTGGGGAAGAAGTAGAAAAAAGAGAGAAGAAAAACAAAGAGAAACTGAAAATTAAAAGAGAAAAAAATGAAGTGCTGGCATAAAAAAACTTTAAAAAAATGTTTATTGTTATGGTATTTAAACTTTCAATAGGATGAAGTAAAGATGAGGGTAAAAAGTAGAAGAAAAAAAGGATGTGCTAAAATTGTTACAGTCTATTTGATATGTTGTTGTTGTCGCTGCAATTTTTTTCCTCTTTTTTTTTTGCCGTCATCAAACCCATCAACTTATTTATGGCTGTCTGCAAACAAAAATTATGCTTTTTGCTTGTCTTATCGATAACTTTTTTCCTTGTTTATGTTGTCCATTCAGCGAACAGCTATTAATGCAAATAATGTAGATGAATAACAAACCAGTCTTTTTTCAACCGATTCTTTTTTTTTTATTTTGACCATTGTTAGATGGAAGGTTGACTGTGGTTCCGAAGGTGGAACAACCAGAATATGGAAAAAAATGTTAGTGAAGAAGAATTTAGCGCGACGTAGGGAGACGTTGGGAGGAGCAATGTAATGGGGGGGCCTGAATATCAGATATTTTAAGGGAACCATTGAGTTTAGAATAAAGGTTGCATCAAGTGGAGACGGTATGCAAGGAGAGGTAGGTTTAATGTGTTGAAAAACCACTCTTTGTTACATTATAATAAACGTTTTGTGAGACCGTAGGTCGTCAGCTTAGAAGACGGAATGCAGTGGAGGATTGGGGGATAAGACCTGGGTTTTTCTTGACTTTATCGCTTATTCTTGTATTTCTGTCCCTTTGTTAAGGAAATCGAATTCTCCATTATTTCCTTAGTGCATTTACCCCACTTTTCATCAGCGGGACTTGGGTTGGGTGATTTGAGTACTGTCAAACGCGAAGCAATTTTGTACTTTTTAAATTCGGGGGCATTTTTAGAGTTCATTTCGGTGAGGAATCGAGAGTGTAGTCGATTTGTTCTGTTCACTACGAATTTAGTGCCGGTAACCAAAAAAAGTTAAGTAGCCGGTTTTTTGGTTTTTTTTTTTTGCTTTTAACTTTTTTTTTGTGATGAATGCTGTTGTAAATTGCACTAACTTCATTTTCTCAGGGTTTTTTTATTTTTCAAAGCGTTGTTATTTGCTTCAGTAAACTGTTAATAGTTTTTAGCAAATGATAAAGTGCTTTTTTTGCAAATAATATTTTTTGAAGTGTTTTCCTGAATGTGAAAAAAATTTTTTTTTATTCTGATTTTTACGATTTGTTCTTTTCGCTTTGTTGCAAAAAAAGAACTAAGGGGAAAAAAGTTGGTTTTTTTCAATTTAGGTTTAATTGAGTTCTGCCTTAATCTGTTTTTAAAAATAACAAGAAAAAGCTTTTTTTTATATTTTGGCCGGTTTTTTCTTCTTTATCTTTCCGTTTTCTTCACAGTTTTTTTTTTTTCAATTCAATCTTTTACTGGTATTGAAGCATCGTTGATACGTCAGTTTTATACGCAGAACGACTCTGACAATGATGATGACGATGACGATTACAACAACGGTTATCAGCTTTTAGATCAGATACTGCTTTTAATCGCTGTTGCAAAAAAAAGTGAGTAAAAAAGTGTAGCAAAAATAGTGCTGTATTTGAGCAGGTTGGAGCCCTTGCTTGCATGTTTTTTTATTTTACTAAGTTATAGTTCTGGAAAAAAAGTAAGAATGAAGAAAAGAAAATAATCTTTTTTCTTTCACAGTTGAAAACATGCTTTTTTAAAACTTTTTTCAATAAAAAACCCTCTTTTTTTGCACATTGATTATGTTGGTCTTCTATGTTGCAATATACGTTTGCCGTTGCTGTGCTGTTGGTGGTGTTGATGATGATGGAGATGATGATTTCTATTACTTTGCTGGTACTGATCCTGCATTGCTGCTGACAAACTGTCAGTTGGTGTTTAGTGTGCTCTTCAAAAAAAATAAAAATAAAAATTGAAAAATAAAAAAAAATAAAAATTTTTGTTGAAATTTGCTGCTTTTGCATAAATGCGCTGTTTTTGTAAGTGGCTTTTGCTTTCTTCAACTGGGGCTTTTTTTCTGGTTGAAAAATCAAAAATCTTCATGGACTGTGCTGAAGGCAGTACGGATGCTGGGAGAGCTCTTTTCAGTCAGGTTCACAGAACTCAGTCTTTTCCAACTGTAATGGAGAAAAGTGGAAACGAGTGGCTGGAATTACTGGAATCAGGAAGAGTGGATAAGGTGGAATCAAGTGGAATTACTGAGGTCTGTCAGGGATAAACAGCTGTTACGTCGCGGCACTTCGGCGGACATCGTCAACGGTTCCATTGGTTTGCACAGCAACAGCAGTAAGCCAAATCGTTCCCTCTTACTGGTGAACAGTGTTTGGAGACACTTGTAGTTCTTTATTTACTGGGTCGACATTTGAAGATTTCGGTGTTTAGTGACTTAGTGTTCGGTTGTTGGCTTTTAGTCATTTTAGACAGCGTTGGATATTTGGAAACTGCTGTAACGATTTATCGGCATCTGAAATTTTTGGGGGATAGTGATGGTAGTGGTAATGGTTGTGACAGTGGTGATAAGAAAGTGAAGGGTTGGTTTTTTTCTGCTGTTTTTTTCCACATTTTACTCAATCTGTCGACAACTGATTTGAAGTGAATGCAAAAAAATTGGTTTTTTCTTTTTATTTTTGCTCTGCTTTGCCAATTTTATATGACAAATTTAAAAATTGCTGCTGCTCGTAATCTTTTTTTTCTCGTTACTGCTGTTGCTGTTTGCTTGTTCTAAGATTATTTTGCAGTTGGGAGCATAGTTTGGATCTGTTTTGCTTGCCAAGTCTATTTTACTTTTTCAGCCATCACTGTTCATTCAGTGAAAAATTTTGTTTTTGATTGAATATGTATTATGCTGTGAAGTCATTTTTCACCTACCAAACAATTAACATTTATTTTCTGCTCCTTTTTATTTTCATTTTTTATTTTTTTTTTCTGAATTTTTAAAGTTTTTTTGCATTCATTTATTCACCACTTTTTTTGTCAATTGAAAAACGAAAGAGGAGAAAAATGTCGGTTTTTGTGTGTTTTTGGACATTTGTGCCCTGTGTTTGGGCACATATATATGTTGCGCTTTGAACTTTTTTCTTTTGTCTCGATTAAAGAAAAAAGTGTTGGTGGGTAAGAGAAGAAGAAGCCTTTTTAAAATCATGCTTAAGGTTTTTTTGGTTCAGGGTTTGGGAAGGCACTGGCATTGCTTTCTTTTCCGAAATAAAGAAGTTGTTGAAAAGATGGTAAGGATTTGAATGAGGAAGAAAAAAGAGTCTTGTTTTTTTTGGCTGAGAAAGATTTGTTGTTTTTTTTCCAAGTTCAAAAACTTGACACCACTTTAAAAAATTTGACTTAAAAGAATTTTTATGTAAATCTCTTTTCTTGCATAGTTTTTTCTTCTAATATATACATAGATATATTATTTTTGTGGTGTCGTCGTTGTTGTTTTTTTTATTGTTGGCAGTGTTAATGATGGGTGATGTTTGCAGAGGAAAAAGATTGGGAAAAGTAACGATAAAGTATGGCAAAAAATAAATGATGAAATTTTTTTTTCATTTTGAAAGACCAAAGCTTAAATTTAACTATTTTTTTTCGTTTTTGGACCACCAAATATCATGTGGCTATTATGAGAATTTTTTGTGCTGATGAAAGTTGGGTAAAAAAGGAAAAAGATTCATGGTATTAAAAATTTGATTGCAAAAATGACGGGAGATTGTCGGGTATTAGAGATGAAGGAAAAGATGGATGTGATTGAGGATGAGGGAGGAAGTCCTTAAATTATCTAAAACGCCTAAAAGCTTTGTTGTTTGTGGTCAAGGTGGCGGTAGTGATGGTAAGAACAGAAGGCTAAATTTGTAGGATAGTAATGATCGTGCAGGATAATAGAAAAAAGTGTATGCTTAATATTTGGAGGAACGCACTGAAGATGTTTTTTACTAATTTTCTAAAAACGAATTATGTTACCGATCTATTCGTATGTTATTATTTTTCGTTGTTGGGTATATGTAACAGTATGAGGAAGATTTAAGCTGTCATATGTATCGGCTTCTAAGCTTTAAGTTTTTGTGGGGTGCGATGCTGGAAAAGATTAAAAAAGGTGAAGGGTTTTCTTGTTCTGTTTCTTTTTCTTCTTCTGCTGGTGCTTATACTTCGTTGAATTCATTTTTGGAAAAAATATTTTGCATTATTTTGAGCTTTTTTTTAACTTAGGTTTGCTCTATGATAAAATTCTGAAAGTTCGGTTCAATGATTTATTTGGAACAGTAAAGGATGTGCACCAAATAAAAACAAAATGATGTACATTTATGGCTTTTATAA